GATAATAAATATTGACAATGAAAATAAAACAAAAGCATCAATTGAATTAGAACAAGAATAATTTATTCTTCATCCGAAGAATATGGAGTAGAATATACGTAGTCTATAATCAAACAAGGATTTAGATCATCGATTCATTATCAAATCATAAGCGTAATTGTGGTCGGACTAATCAGTCTCTATCGATTATTTCTTTGTATAGACATTTGTAGTTTTTGGAAAAAATTGAAAATATATTTTGATAGAGAAAAATTTTTTGTAGCAACTCTTAGGGGGGTGTGATGTGATTGAATTTAGATAAGCAAGATGAAGTGAATATAAGGCTCCAATCTTTTATCTAACATAAAAAAAATGGAAGAATACAAAAAGATAGAAAGACGAAGAGGTAAACACGACCAATAACTGTAACAGCACCCTACTCCCTCCTCTCTAGTATAGAGGAAAACACGCATATATATAGGTAAAGAAAAGAAAGACATGGACGGCAAGAATACATGATATCATATGAACAAAAGAAAAAGATATATCGATATCACAATAACAAAGAATACAATAGGGTGTGGGTGTGAATTTGGTCTAAGCTTTAGAGACTACCCACACCTCAAATCGAGGTTTCTTTTTACCGCAGTACGCCGCAGTTTCTTCATAAGTCTGTATTAGAGCAGCACACCTGACCCAGGAAGAGCAAGCCTACATGAACTTTTAGTAAAAGCCAGATAAGCTGCCCTTAGAGGAGCTGTGTAGTAAATCTTCACAAGTTCTATTATCCAAAGGTCTTCTTGCAGTGACACATTTATTGGGATAATCTTGTTACAACATGTTAGAAATAGTTGAGCACGACATTTCCATTGTTTCTACGCATTCTCTCATGCTTCACTATGTACTTGAGCGAATGTGTAAAGACGATAGTGGACATAAGATGTGTATCAACCTCAAAAACTGCGGTTTCTCACGTTAATACCGCGATGCAACAAACTGCAATTTTGTGGAAAACTTCGTGTACGAAATAGTTGACGGCGACAAACCGTGACTATAGTTAACTCCATCAAGATATTTGAGATTTCTAAAAACCGCAGAATTAGTCATCGCGGTTTGGAAAATCGTTACGTACCGCAGCATTCAATGCCACGGTTACGATCATGTTCAGTGTGATTTATGAAACTATGACCGATCACAATATGTAATATCGCGGTGAGTTGAAAACCGCGATTCCACTCAAAACTTTTTTCCACGAGGTGTATAGAAACATTAGATAGTATTTCTATTGCGTATTTTTTCTAGTTGTTTTGCAATGATCGTTTATGAAAACATACCTAGGTTTGAGTCATTGTAAAATACGCATTAACTCTTTTATAACTTTATGTCGTAAGATAAGAGACTAACCTGTTTCTTTGTGCCAGATATTGTAAATGACGCAAATAAACTTGATTCGCGTAGTTAAGAGAAAATAGGCAGACAGAAAGATATAATGATCCCAGGAAGATTAGATAGACTAGTCCTCGAATATTTCACTTTTTCATGTATAATAGTTAAATCATTGATGTCGTCAAAAAAAGAAACATGAGGAAATGAAAGAAAAATGCAACGAGAAAATGTTCATTCAGATCACATCGAATGTGGATGAACGAAAAAATTTGATCGTTTCTTTGTTAATACATCAGACCTAGAATTTCAAAGATGGATTAAAGACTAAATATTTCATGGTGTAGCAACAATATTCTAAAAACGATAAAGCATATTTTTTGAAGTAGTCTATATTTTCTTGAAAAAGAAACGAATATATTGAATTTTAATAAACTGATTAATTTAAAATAAATGAAAATTATCTTGCAAACTATGTATTAATATGGATTTGAAAATAATTTATTTCTATAAAACGAATGTTAATAAACTAGTGACCTCTTTTGTTAGTTTTATCTAAAATACATTTGATTGGATTAGATGAAGAATATTTCATTTTAATGTAATTCGGAAATCTTTGTCTTTATCTTGATTGATAGAATTATTTATCTGAAAAATAAAAGAAAAATGTCGGGAAAAGTACGTCGAGAGAATGATGATGATGAAGTTAAAGATAATGATCGTAAAAGAGTCGAATCTAACTATGTTCGTAATTCATCTGCAACAACACCAAAACGGATTCGTCGTAATGAAGAACATGTCGAAAAAGAATTAATTAATGAATTTTCATCAAATTCAAATATTGAATTAAATCCAAAAGAAAAAAGTCAAGGTTCAGCACAATTAGATAATTTTTATGCATCATTTTTACCATCAAGTCAATATTATGAAAGATCTTATATGCATAGAGATGTAGTTACACATGTTATTGTAACAAAAACTGATTTTTTAATAAGCGGTTCCCAAGATGGTCATATTAAATTTTGGAAAATTTTAACATCAGATTATTTAAAACAACAACAAACAGTAGCAACCAGTAGTCATTCATCCAAAGCAAATGATGATCAACAAGAAGAAATCAATTCTTTAGTTCCTCTTCCCATTCAATTTGTTAAACATTTTCGTGCTCATTTAGGTAAATGTTTTATCATTTTAATAGAAACTTTTTATTACTTTATCTTTTCGAAAGTCTTTTTCAATTATCTTAGGAAATAATAATAACAAAAATCATTTAAGAGGAAAAACAAAACTATAAACGTATATCTTAATAAGTAAACGTTATTTTCGAAAGTAAATGAGAACGAATTGTTGATGGATTTAATATCCATATTTAATACGATCCTAAATAAACAATTTATCGATTGATTATTAATGATATGAAATTTTATGGGAACAATATTAATTGAATATTATTCAAAAAAAAATCGATATTTGAAATATTTCTATCAATCGAGAGAAAACAAATGAAATTATTCAATAAATTAATTTAATTCATTCAAAGTTAATTTATTTTCAAATATATATATATATGTATCTCATTTAAATATATATAAAACCATATTTACAGACACAAAAAGACTAATGAGTGATCAATTCATAAAATAATTAATTTGTTCGAGTTTTCAAAAATAAGAAAATAAATTTGTTAATTATCATAGTTAGCAAATATATTTTCATTTCTTTTTACAAAAATTTTATCGAAAAACAATATTTAACGAAGCAAATAAGATAGTTTTATATTAGAGTAAATGAAGTTATTAATAAAAAAAAACTGAAAACGATATTTAGTCGAAATATGTTTACCGATAGATATAAAATCTTATCGATGTTCATTCTTTATTATAAGTTGAATAATCAAAAGTGTTTTTCTTGAATGATAAAATATCGAAATTTGTTTCGATATATTCCATTTGAATATGTCTTTCGATTTTTTTCACTTATTTTTGTTTATTTTCAACTTACAGATTAAGAAAACAAATTAACATTGCTTTTTCATATTAATAATGAAAAAAAATATTTTCTTTGATCTTTGTCCAATATCTGTTTATTCGATGAGATTTTATCGAGGTTATTTGTTAGAAGATTTTTTTTTGAATATGACAATTACTCTTCGAATATAAATCGAATAAATATTTTTTTTTCTTATTCCCGATATAATTTAATATGTTAAATTGATGACGAAAAACAAAAAAAAAATGTGTTTTTTAACTTTATTTAAGGTCCAATATTAGCAATGTGTGTGAATGTATCTGGAACATTATTATGTTCAACATGTTCTGATCGAACATTAAAAATGTTTGATGTATTATCATTTGATATGATTACAATGGTTAAATTAGATATTATTCCATTAACTTGTTCATTTGTTGATTCATCTCGTCAAGCTTTATCAAAATTGGCTGTATCTGATAGTCAGTCATCAACAATATATATATATGATGCTAAAACATTAAATATAAAAGAACCAATATCAATATTATCAAATATAGGTCATGGATCATCTGTATCAATAATAAGTTATTCATCACAATATGATTTAGCTATATCTTGTGATCAAACATCAATAATTAATTATTGGTCACCAACTAATATCGAAAGTTTACCAAATGAAATATTATTTAAATCAAAATTAGATACTGATTTATTTGAATTAGTTAAAAGAAAATTAATTCCATTAGCATTAGAGTTTAATAATACTGGAGATTTATTTGCATTAATGGGAAAATCTTCAACGGAAAAAAAATTATTTCTTTTTAATACTTTAAAAGGTAAAATATTAAAAGTATTTGATGAACATTTAGAAATATATAAACAATTACATGAACGTTTACTAACAAAACAACAAGAAAGTGAAGAAAAAAAATTAAATTTAAATATATTAAATAATGTTGAGTATTCAAGACGTTTAACAATTGAAAAAGATTTAGAAAAAAATCAATCAATTTATTCTTTAATTAATCTTCAATTTGATTCATCTGGGACTTTTCTTTTTTATTCAACATTATATGGAATTAAAATGTTAAATATACGAAATAATTCTATTAGATTATTTTTTGGTACTACAGAAAATGCTAGATTTATTCGTTTAGCACTTTATCAATATAATAAATCATCAGATAATAATCTTAATTCAACTATTCTTTTTACAACTGCTTATAAAAAAAATCGATTTTATTTATTTACAAGAAATAATCCACAAGGTAATTCTTTTTTTTTTTTTAACTAAACAATCATGTTATTTAAATAAACTTTACTATTAACACATTAATCATCTATATAGACAACAAATTAGACATATTTATTAGTCTCATCAAGAATTTTTCTTTAAATAATATCCCTAGACGAACTTCTTTTGGTCTGCGCAGGAGATACTTGAGAATCTTAATCAAGAAAATCATGCGCTATGGACGAGTTTTGAGACAAGACTTGAGATCTTTCGGTGATCTCAAGTTCTTGAACTTCTTATTCTATCGCTTAATATTCTTGCTCACGCGTTTGAAATTCTTGCCCATGCACTTGAATTCTTACCCAAACGTGTCTGTTACTAAGGAACTTTTTTAGTTTTTTTTTTCAATTTTACGTTCAAAATAACTCAACTTTTAATAAAAATTCATAGTTGTATTTTCTGGGGTTGAGCACATGAGTTTCTTGTAACTCATGCAAACACTCAAGCGCTTGTCTTGAGCAAGAAAGTCATGTGCTATGGACAAATCTTGAGGTATGTACAGGTCAAAAGCACAAAAAAAGAAGTTCGCCTAAGGATATAATAATTGATAGTTATAACTGAATAAAAATAAAGATTTAATTATTTTTAAGTTTAATATTAAGTTAAAAAGAAGTCAAATGACATATTTCAACATTGATCAAATCAATTTTTGATTTGAACATCATTTCATTTTATTTTATCCTCTTTTATCTAGAAATTTCATATTGGTATTTAACAAATAATCGAAACTTTTCTTTTTTTTATGATATTATTGAGAAAATAATTAAAACAAGAATAAACAGATAATAGATGACATTTTAGTTAAATATTATTTATTCGAAAACAATAAGATATTCTCGTTTTATTTATTTATCAGACAAACTTTTCTTATTAATATTTTATTCTGTTTTAAATGAAAATGATTCATTTCTATAGATAGATAGATTTTGATAATATCTATTAAATATATTATTTTATTATTTATATCAAATAGAATACTTTAAAACGATTTATTTATTGTTTCAATAAATCATAATCAGTTATTATAAATAATTCAATAAACAAACAAATAAATTCTAGATTAGTTCTAATGATATATTATAATTGACATATTTATATCGACAAATCATTTATCCGATTCATTAAACGAATATTATCGAATCATTAAATAGATATTATTCGTTTATAGTCAAATCTGATCAGAAATCGAATATATAAGAGAGTCTTTTCCAATGATCGACTTCTTCGTTTTGTAAATAGTCAAGATTTTCGATAATAAATCTATAGACTTAATTAACAATTGATAAAATATTTCGAACTGTTATAAATGATTTAAATAAAAGTAAAACTATAAAATTTATTTAATTGTAGACAATCGAAGTGAACATGATAATGATCGTGATGTTTATAATGAAAAACCATCTCGTGAAGAAGTTTTAACAGCAACAGAAGAACAAGCATTATCATCATTATCTCAATCAGCAATAATTCATACAACATATGGTGATATTCATGTTCGTTTATTTCCTGAATATGTTCCAAAAACTTGTGAAAATTTTATTCAACATTCAAAACAATCTTATTATAATGGTTGTATTTTTCATCGTGTTATTAAACAATTTATGATTCAAACAGGTTTAGAATAATATTTTAATAGTTATTGAATCTAAGATTATTATTTGTTATTTTGTTTTCTTAGGTGATCCATTAGGAAATGGAACAGGTGGTCAATCAATATGGGGAAAAGATTTTCAAGACGAATTTCATCCACAATTAAAACATGATCGTCCATATACACTTTCAATGGCAAATGCTGGACCAAATACAAATGGTTCACAATTTTTTATAACTGTTGTACCAAGTCCATGGCTTGATAATAAACATACTATTTTTGGAAGAGTTTCTAAAGGAATGGATGTTGTAGAAAAAATTTCTCAAGCAAAAACAGATCGACTTGATAAACCTTTAGATGATATTAAAATTATTTCAATATCTATTAAATAAATATTTTTCTTCTTCTTGATCTTCTCTGTTTATTTCAGATGTCACTTCAAGTTAAATTTATAACAAGATTAGACAAGTAGATTTTATTTTCTAGCTAAAAATAAAAAACAAAAATAACACTGAATTTTTATTTATTTTCTAAAGATATTCTGTTCCTGATACAACATTAGTTATTCCATCGTCATCAACAAATTCTCAATTAGAAGCTATTTTAAAAGGATTATTACAAACAACAGGTAGTTTTTTTTTTGTCTATAGAATTTTCTTTAAATAAAATAATATTTAAATATTTTTAGTATCTTCTAATGATTTATCTCGTATTTCATTTGATTTTTTATGTCTTAATAAATTAATACGTTCATCATTAGAAGAACATATACGAGAAAAAGATGAATCATTACTTGAATCAATAATTTCAATTGAATATATTGAAAAATTTCAAGGTCCACTACCTGAAGATGCATTAATGCATGATGATTGGGTATCTGATTGTAAATCATTAGGTGATTCAATATTAGTTGCTTCTTATGATACTAAAGTTCATTTATGGAATAATCAAGGAGAACATATAATTAGTCTTCCAGGACATACGGCTCCTGTTAGATCTCTTGCTTTTATTTATTCAGGTTTTATTGAAAAAAAAAACCCTTATACAAAATAATATTTATTTTATTTATTTTTAAGATGAAGGTGAACATGAATTTATAAGTGGATCTCATGATCAGACAATATTAATATGGAAATATGATCAAAATAAAAATAATGTTCAATCATTAATTACTTGTAAAGGACATCAAGGAACTATTGAAACATTAGCTTTACAAAAATTATATTTTTGTTCGGGATCTTTTGATAAAACAATTAAATTATGGGGACTAGGTTTTTTTTCTCTTTTAAATATTTCTTCTTTTTATTGTTTTTTTTAATGTACATAGAAGAAGAAAAAGAAAAAGAAAAATCATCAACAAAAGTAAGTTTTTATTCATTATTAAATATCTAATAAAATCTGTTAAATAAAAAAAAAAAAAAGGAATGTCGATTAACAATAAATGCTCACAATGAAAATGTCTCATCAATTGGTTGGAATTCTCCAAATGAACTTGTTTCATGTTCATGGGATCAAACAATTAAATTATGGAATATGGATACAATACAATCAACACAAACTTTTGTTTGTTTCTTTTCTTTCTAAAGAAGTTTTTTCAAACAAATTATATAGATGATCTTCTGTTTTTAGAAATGTGGAAAAGCTGTTCTTTCACTTGATATATCACCAGTTAATGGTTTATTAGTTTGTGGTTTTACTGATCGATTTATTCGTCTGTATGATACACGTCTTCAAGGTTTGTTAGATTTTATAAAAGAATATCATTCAAATTAAAAAAAAAAATCATTTCTAGAAGGATATGTTCTGCGATCAACATATTCATCACATAGTCAATGGGTATCAAGTGTTATGTGGTCACGAAAATCCGAATATTTGTTTGTATCTGGTTCATATGATTCATTAGTTAAACTATGGGATACTCGTTCACTAAAAGCTCCACTATATGATCTTCAAGGACATGACGATCGTGTTTTATGTGTCGATTGGTCAATTGATCAATTAATTCTTTCGGGAGGAGCTGATAATTCATTGAAAATGTTTTCATTTAGATAAAACAATTGTTTTTCGTTGTTTTTTATTATATAAAAGAGATTGTTACTGTTGTGGTTCATCATCACTTATAATAAACTGTTAAGAATATGATCAATTAAGATCGTTAGAAATTCTTCTTTTTTTTTTTTTATTAATCTTTAATTAATATAGATCAATTAATAAAAAAAATATGCATCTTTATGTTGTATTTTTATTTTATTGATCAAAGTCTAATCTTTCTTTCGGTTATTGTTAATTATAAACTGAGACAATTGCTTACCAATAATGAAATAAACTAATAATGTTAAAGTAATGAATAGATAATCAAAACTAAATATCAATGTAAATTTTGTACTAAAATGAACTAAACGATAACATTATGCATGTATGTGACTATGAAATCAACGAAATTATTAGTAAGAGTTTGAAATTAATGATACTATTAATCGAATAAGATCGTGAATGAAAATAAATTCATCCAAATAGGAATTTTATTCAAAATAATAATCTTCTTGTTTGATATTATTTGATTTAATCTCAAGATATATATTTATTTTCATAGATTATTATTATAGATAAAAAGCAGAACACAAAGCTTGAGTACATTATTATTTTGTGGCCAAAGTCATACTTCAATAATTTTTTATGCCGTTTTAGTTCATAATGTTTAATGTTGATTATCTATTAATTAGTCTTTTAACACTATTGTTTTATTTCATTATTATTAGAAGAAAGTTATAGTTTATAATTGATGATCATTCTGCTCTGAAAATTGAAAAGAAAAAAACTTTGCGAAAAAATTACTAAAAATTGACCGGTTTGAAGAACTTAACTAGTCAATCTGGAAATGGTTTTCTGATCTAGTTCGAAGTCTACCACAAGATAGTGCTAATAACTTGGTTTTTATAATTCCAAAAAGAAAAGATAATGTACTAATGATATTTTTAGTCATCATTTATCAAGCACAGTAGAAGTATATGAAGTGAGTTGAATTATAGTTCTGATGGTAAAAATAATAATAAATATGATGAGTTACTTTATCATAAAGCATTAAAGTTAAGAAAATGGTCTAGAAAAAGAAGAGAATCTATTATTATAGTGAGAATCAAATAAAATAGTACTTCCAATTTTATCTTTATCAGCTGCACTCGAAAAAATAGTTTTATCATAGAATCTCAAAAGTTTCGTATTTCGATATCAAACTCTTGTCGGTTTCGAAAAATGAAATTCGTTTCACCCTTGTCCAGTCAAACTTTTTTTCGTTCGGACAGATTTTTGTATGATTTGTAGATCTCTACATCTATACCTTTAGATCTGGACGGTTATCACGGTAACTGTGTATTTAAACACTCCACTTGACTCCCACTTTACATAAGATCAACTTTCGAAAGCACAGTACAACTGTATATTACAGAAGTGTGCAAAGTTGGATGGAAAGTAGAGATGATAGTAACGATTCTCCATGCGTAACTACCTTATATTATGGTAATTTCCAATCGAATTGCTTCCCAACTGTTCCAATGGTCACTGACAATGATAGATGGGCGAAATTACCATTCTAATCATGGAATATTGAGTGATTTTAAGAATCTCTTAAATTCTACAGAACTATGAAGATCTCGTAAGATGACTACGGATCCTTTCATTGTATCAACTAGGCACCGTAGATTACTTAAAGAAATACGAAACCTTTTTGTATGAGATGGAACTATGAAAAGTTCTCTGAAACTCATACAAAACTTTTTTTAATTATAGGGAGGTATGATGTTTTCGTGTGAAGAGTGCCAGACTATTTGTTATTTGGCTTGGAGCTAGAAATATTCGTTTTTCAAAACCTACAAAAGTTTTTGTAACCAAATATGAAACTTTTAAGGTTCTATGATATAATTATTTTTTCGAATGTAATTATTAATACACAGTTTCATCCGTTCAATTCATTTATCAAAAGTTGTTTTGTACTCATCTTTGTTAAATAAGTCCATTGTTCTAGTTAAAGCACGATTCAACAATTTAAAGCTGTTTTGATTGGTCAAATTCTACTTGATCAAATCGAATAGCCAGAAATTGAATTAGTTGTTTGTAATATAATTGTGACATCCTTCGATCTGAGATCAGTAAATACATCTTCGTCAATATGTAGCTTGGTATTATCATTATAAAGTCTGATAGCATGTGTATTATATGATGATCTTTGCTTTTTTGATTTTATTGACAAGAGGTCGTAGGCAATTATTGGTGTAACGGTCATGGTGGACAGATTATCCTCGTTCTAAATGATGGATTAAAACAGAATTAGTAGTCTTAAAAAATATAGAAAATAATGGTTTTGGGTGAAGCAATTTCGTCAAATCGCAGTTGGCGAAATCTCTCTGCTTGCTGTCCAGGCAATATTTGATACTTTTCGACCAATTGGTTTATTATAAACGTAGGACTTATCATCAATCACTACGCCACATAATCGCCATGTTCTTTGCGAAAATTTTGCCAAATTTTCTTTACATATGTGGATCTATTCAGCTCGTTGAACAATAATCAATTGGCTAGGTATCCAGCGAGTGGTAATAGCTTTTAGTTTTAAGTGATAAAATAAGATAATATTGGAATCACTACTTTAGATATTCTCTAGGTAACAAAACTTTTAATCAAGTACATGATTATTGAATATGATCAAATTCTAAATCGCAGACTCTTTGATAAAATAGAAGTTTCTCTTCTTTTTTCTTTAAAGTGGGATCATCGCTATACATTATTGATAAGCAATTATTTCGTTTAAACTTATCATCTTACGAGTCTATGTAACAGATAGTCTTGATCAAGGTTAATTTTATCCTAAGTCTATCTCCTTACATAACAATGATTAAAAATTAAATCTATGTGATAGAAAATATTTCCTTCTTTTTCTGAGTTCATTAAAAAAAAGGAGAATAAATCTCTAAAGTTTGTCGTACAGATGATTTGAACAACTAGTTTCAGCGATCAATTGATTCGTATAGAATAAAGTAACAACTAAAAGATATGATTTTTTCTGAATAAGTTCAGTGATGAAAGAGGAAAGTTTTTGTTTGATAGAATTTGTAATAGCCATAATCTCTTAATCGATTTCATCATCTGTTGTCATCATATAACTTGTACTTAATCGAATCGTGCTGCTCGTTAATTGTTATGAAAGCATTTTGAATAGAACAAAGAAAATAATAGATCAAATTTATTCAATAAAGAATAGATCTCAAATGTCGATGATAGAAGGCAGAACAAGAAAAATTCTTTTATGGGCTATTTCGTGTATTTTACTTTGGCCATTATCAATGATTATAATAGGAATTCGATTTAGAAACGAGTGTCCAGGTCAACCTCAATTATCTATTTATCATATTATCTTTGGTTCTATTTGGATATTTCTTTTTTTCTTAAATATCATTCGTTGTTATTTATTTCATCGATGTATAGATATTATATCTACAATAATCTGGTTATTACTTTTATTATTAATTATCCCAGGATATTTATTTATATTTAATATAAAAAATATTATTCTAATATCTGATCAATATCCTTATGAAATTTGCGAAAAAAATTTTTATATATATTCATCTATATTAATTATTCTTGTTCATATTCCCTTGTATATATTTCTATGGATTTCATGGTCTTTGACTCATCCAAAAGACTTTATTCGATATCAACAAAGATCAATTAGAATATTCACAATAACACCGATCTAATTCGACACAAAAAAAAAAGTTCGCCAATAGCTTGAAGTTTTCTAGATATAATTTGATGTTGGTTATCTTCATGACAAAGACTACCTATTGAAAATGTTAACCGATCACTTAGTTGATTAATTAATTGTTCAGCATTGATTCCTCGAAAAGTTAAACTTAATGTATTTGATAAGCATTGTTTATATCCATTACGAATAATAAAATTCTTATCATTATGATTAAATTGATTGATTAATCATTAATAAAGTCTATCACATGTTCGTTTCATTTCTTCAATTCTTTTATTTAATAAATATTTATTTGATATTAATCAAAAAGCTTTTCCTAATCTAATAATAGGTAAAACATTTTTAGTACCTGGTCTGAGACCTTGTTCGTATTGTGTACCATAAAGAATTGATTCTAATTTTCTTCATTAACGAATATAAAGAGCATCAATACATTTCAATTCATGAAACTTATGTGAATATACGGCCAATAAATCAACACCGAAACGTGATACATCTATTGGAAGTTTTCCCATTGATTGTAATGCATCACTGTAAATAATAACATCAAAGGAACCATATTCACGACATAAATTAACTAGTTCTTCAATCGATTGAATTGAACCTGTGAGAAATTTATTTTTAAAATCAATTTCAAAATAAAAAGAAAAGAACAAAAACAAAAACAAACCAATTTCATTATTACTATGGATTGTAGTAACAAGTCTTGTTTCAGGTTTTAATAATTGACGAAAATGTTTAAGATCAATAATTCCATTGGAATCAACTTGAACAAAAGATATTTGAATATTTTTATTAGAGTTTTGTAAATCATTTAAGAATATTTGCAATAGATGAATGTTCAGATAGGCCTGTTATAATGTGTCGAACTTTATTGAGATCAAATTTAAGAATTCCACGAAGAGCTAAATTATTTGATTCAATTCTACCACTTGTAAATATTATTTCGTTTGAATATGAAGCATTAATAGAACTTCTAACTTGTTCTCTCGCTTCATCAACTAACTATCGAGCTTAAATTCTAAGGAAATGTGAAGAACTTGGATTATTAAATGAATTTGAACATTTTAAATGATCAGTCATTGATTCAACAACTGATTTATCTTCACAAGTTGTTATATTATTATCTGAATATATCGTGTGAGAGATGTCATTATACTTATTATGTAATCCATTATCGATTGAAAGAGATGCCATGAGTTTTTTATTGAATTGAATGCTTGTCGTTATAGTATTAATAGTAATAGTTACAACAATGAAGTATTTCTGTGCTTTTTCCTTTTCTTTTCTTTCAGGCAAACGATGATGTGGTAAATATACAATCAAACTAATTAACATAAACTAGCTCGTTTTTTCTCTCTGGTATTTGCAAACGTTTTTTGCAATTTTTTATTTATTTTTTTAATGAAAATAAAACGAAATATATTCTTAATATTATCAAAAAGAAAACTTGATAAAAAAAAGGATCTTAGATTGTCATTTTGAAAATAATTGTTTTCATTGAGACTGTAAGATGGAAAAACGGATAGGAAATTTCATCAAAAAATAAAACCGTCGAGAACAAGATGTCAAGTAATATTATTCTGAATATTATTCTTTTTTGAGGATGTGAAAAAAAACGAATAAAATTTCGATTTAATATAAAATAAACAAAATTGATATCTTAGATAAATTCAATGAAAATATCCAAATGACTTTTTGAATTTTTAAAAAAAGAAAAGTTTTTATTGATCGATATTCTATTATTAATTATGAAATTAAATCATTTACTGTCTGTTGAACTAGTATTTCAAATAAAAATTAATAAAATTTCGATTCAATTTTTAACTTGTACTACGTATTATTAAACTTAATTGTTCTTCACCTATTCATTGTTGATAGTTATGAAACATGTATATCTATATTTTTCACTTAAATTCAATTATTCATAATTATTTCGATCGAATAAAACATCTAAAGATTGATTTTAATCTATTTTATTTTCAATCAAACGTTTAAATAATCAATATATTCAGATTTATAAACCTATGTCGAACTACTTTATATGAAGTTATTTATATGAGATGATAGACTTTAAGTACCGGGTTGTGCATAACCTTTTGCTAGGGGGGGGGAGGTAGCGCTATGATTTCAAGTTAAATACCTAATGAATTTTATATCAAATTAAAGACCGTCAAAAACTAGATTCATTAGTACTAAATAGTAAGAGTTATCAAAATACTTTAGTGTCGAACTTACGAAATTTTCGAAGATTTTATGCTTTTTTTAGCATAGAAAATTAGGACACCAGCAATTCAAATATAGAATAAAATATTTTCTTTTGGTATTTTTACATGGTTCGATAGGGTCCATCGAGCTCTACGAAACTATATATATTAAAATTTACTTGAGCCATTTTTCTGAGATAAAAAATCTAAAAAATTACTTGTACAATCCTAAAAAATCTTTGAAAACTTGATTTTTTTATATGGAAGAAAAACACTCAATTTCTTCGATAAAATTAACTTTTTTCATTATTTTTACTTACAAAGACGCTTCGAAATATACTCATCCGATGCAGCATGAAAAATTGCGTCTAATGAGTATATCTCAAAGCGTCTTTATGAGTGAAAATAATGAAAAAACTAATTTTATTGAGAAAATCGAGTGTTTTTCTTCCCTATAAAAAACTGCTGGTGCCATAATTTTCTATGCTAAAAAAAGCAAAAAATCTTTGAAAATTTCGTAAGTTCGACATTAAAATATTTTGATAACTCTTACTATTTAGTACTAATGAATCCAGTTTTTGATGGTCTTTAATTTGGTATAAAATTTATTAGGTATTTAACTTGAAATCATAGCGCTACCCACTAGCAAAAGGTTATACACAACCCGGTATGTTTTGAAACAATCGATATCATTCTAACAATAGAATCATTTTCTACAAGATATGTTAAAATGTATTTTCATAGTAGATAACATTGCGACTTTAAACCACATCAATAATAAATTTTATAGCAAATGTAACCTTGTCGAAAATAAGATTTATTAATACTAAATAGGAAGAATTTATGATAATGAATATCAGAAATAAATGTTCATAGTTTTAACATTCGATGAATATAATCAATAGTCAAGCAAAACGCTCATTATTCTTTTTGAAATAGCGCAAGATGAGATGGATGCAACCATAAAATAATTGCAAAAAGGTTACTGTTTGTTTTCATATTTGTCAAAACATATATTTAATGTGACATTTAGTATGAACGGACTCTGTAACAGATATTTTCCTCTGTTCATATGGCGTTAAAATTTAGGAATTTCTTGAATTCAGTAATGAAAAATAATCATAATTTTTTCTATCTAGTACTAATAAATCCTATAGAAAAATATATTCACACATCATGTACAATGATTTTTCAGATTAAATTCTGAAAATTCAACAGATTTTATATAGATGAGGTAAGTTTTCTAAAATGTGCAACGTCCTTGCTTTTCACCAATATGGTGACGTTTAGAAAATTTTTTTTTTACCTTTGTTTCTTATCAAATCAAGGACTCTAATTGCACTAAAGAAAACATGTTTTATCATCATTTGTATCTTTGTTTTATTCATATAAAAGATGTTTAAATTTCTATCTAAATTGAAATATGAAAATATAGAATCAGTATTTCATCTTTGAACTTTTATGAAAAGTTCAAAGATGAAAAAAAAGGTGACTTTGCAATCAATGATAAAGTTGATTGCCATGTGTTTATATATATATACAGCAAAAACAACTTGAAAGAGATAAGAGAACTTTTTGTTTTTTTATCGTATAACATGTTGTGATACTTTATTATTTAAAAAAATATATTTATCTCATAGAGAATAAAAAATTCTTTTTTGAATCGAGTCAATAAAAAAGTTTGTAGAAAATAATTATTTATTTAAATGATAATGATTTATTTATTATCTAGATGAATATGGATGATTTAGACAACAAAGAAAGAGAAAATGTACAAATAAATGTAGTTGATGTTATTCCAATTATTGAAGATACAAATGATGATATATTGAAACATCATAAAGGAATATATTGGAGACTTCTTTTTCTTAATTTAGTTATTTTATGGGCGTATCAATCATTAATTTCTGCACAAAATTATTATTTAAAATTTTTTAAAAATGATCATTTAGATTTTTGGGGAACAGTATCAGCTGGTTCAGCCATGTTTTTTCTTCATGTAATTCAATTATATTTTGGCGTTTATAAATATGGTTTTACAAAACGTGTTGTACCTGGTTTTATTGGTTACATTATTATTGCAATATTAGTTATGGCTTTTAAAAACAAAATTATTCTAATTATTGCTTTTGCAAGTGTTGGTGGAATAAATACAATAACTGAATCACCTGTTTATGGTATTGCTGGATTATTTATAACTGGTGCATTTACTCAAGCTGTTCAAGTTGGCAATGGTTTGGCTGGAGTTTTAAATGTTAGTGCAAATACAATAATTCGATTAATTGTTTTACTTGTTCATAGTCATATTGATCAAGATCAATTATCATTTTATATATTTATGAGTGTATTAATAATATTATGTTTTATAGCTATATATGTTTATTATGGTTTAATACGTATTCCTCCAGTTAATATAAGAATTAATCAACAAATGGCTTCATTTAGACAAGAAAAACTTGCTTGTACTATTCAATTAGATTTTATTGAAAATCAACTTTCATTTTGGGCATTAACAAAAATTTTAAAAATTCATTTATTTGTTCAATTTTATGTTTTATTTATAACATTATTATTATGGCCAGGTATTCCATGTGGTGCATCAAATAATGGTTGGTTTGATAATGTTGGTAAAGTTTGGTGGTGTTCACCATTTGTTATTGGAACATATAATCTTGGAGATCTTATTGGTCGTACTCTTGCTATTAAAGTTCATAAATATTTTTCTTCAAATACTTGTTTAGTTTGTTCAATTTTAAGAACATTATTTATTTTAATTATATTTTATCGTCATCATATAAATAATATATTTCTTCTTATATTAATTACATTTATGGGAATAACAAATGGTCTTCTTGCAACAGTTACATTTATGGTTCGTCCTCAAACAATTATTGGTGTTAATAATTGTGAAAGAGCTGCTTATTTAATGACAGCAGCTCTATATTTTGGTATTGCAGCTGGATCTATTGTTGCAGCTACATTATCATTAACTCATGTTGTTTAAATTAAATTATTTCTTTTTTTTTTCTACAATAATATATATTTTATTATTAAAATTTCTAGAACAAAAATCTTAGGGTATTTCATTGTCATCAAATAGAAATTCTTCATATTGATACTTTTTTCGGAAAACTATTTTCCTTCAAAAAACAAAAAAAATCTTTCTATAGAAAAATAAAAGTTTTTCTTTATAGAAATAAAGAAAATAAATTCGATACTTTGACATATGAATTTTAGATTCATAGGAATAAAACACAAATATGACACATTCATTATTCTTTACATTAACTATTTATTCTTCACTAGACGAAGACAATGATCAGATCAAAACTATTTATCCCTAGCAATGTTATCCGAACCGGAGAAAAACTGACAATAAATCATTCGGTATAATATACGCTATACTTCCAATATTTGTGTGCAGTAGTAAAAAAAGAGACAATAATTTGATACTTGAACAATTGACTATTCTCTGATCAGGAGTCTACTATCGATTTTTCTAACTAGCGCCGTACATCAACGATACTGTCAACAAACATATGTTACATCAATCATCAACATTTAAATCAGTATTTATTAAAAGAAATTTTCTTAAAGAAATTTTTTTTTTTTGAAGAAAATTTTCGATTAGTTTAAAAAAATATAAAACTTTAAAATAAATTGAAAATAGAACATATTTGCAAATAATTCGAGGAAAAAAAAATCAATTGAATATTGAAAATATTTCTCTTTATTTAAATTGATTTTATTTTTCGAAATACTTTTCTTTTTCAAGTTTTCATTCAAAATGAATCCTGTTAAAAAACTTTTCTCATTTCATTTTCTTGCCATTATAACTGTTAATATAAATTAGCATTAGCAAAATAAAAAGCTCAATCGAATAATAATCATTTTTATTAAATAAATACAAAGACAAACTCATAACGTATTTCATTTTTCAATGCCTAACTTATTCAGAATAAAGAAAAACTTCGTGTGAAACAATTATGTAAATAAAATAATAGACCAACAGTTTGAGCCTCCGGGTCTATTCAACATAACAATCCTCGACAATTGACATTTTTTATATTTAACTTCAATCAAAATAAATGATAGACTAGACATACGTTGTTCGGTATGATTAGGTTATTCAATAGACGATACCCATAACTCATTAATGATTTTTCTAGGGTGTGCTTGTGGTTCTTCTTCCAGACCAGCTACACACGAACACACATCCTACAGACACATTCAGTCACAATCCACAGCCATCCATTAGCCATACATACGCTCAATGTGCAAGTTGAAGCTGTAAAATAACCTGAAGGTCTCTTTATGAAAATAAATAGATTTTTATTTCTTAGAACTAAACTAAATAGATTTAAGAGTTGGGGATTTATTTTGATAACAATCAATGAGAAATTAAAATTAAAATTTATCTCATTTACTCTAATCATTATTCAAAATCATATGTTTAACTTAATTACTTACGAATCGATTGTTTTTAAATATTAGATATCAAAAATAAATAAATATTTGTTTATACTCGAAAAATAGTTTCATATGAAACATTTGTGTTGAACATCGAGAGAATGTTGAAAAATCTGGTCGATTCTTGAAAAAGTTTCATTGACCAATCTAATAATTTATGGAAGAATCCTAAATAATCAATGACAAAAAATTTTGACTGTCTCTATATATAATCATTGAAAATATTTAAAGACTTATCAAGCCAAAACAATAAATACTTGTCAATTGTCTTTTGTGAAATGTCAATTCTTTTTCTATATTGACAACAATATTAAAGTAAACGAAAGTCAATTTATGAAATTCTTATGTTAATTAATCGATTTAAAAGATCGTATTTAATAAGATATAAGATTATATATGAAAAATCATCAATTTCAATAAATATAACACATTATAACTAAAATTAAATCTGATAGCAAAATATAAATGAGAATGTTTCTCTAGATCGATTCAAATAATCAATTCTTCTAAGAGAATAAAATAATCCAGATGAAGTATAGAAAATGATATTGTTTTTGAATAGAATAGTTCATTTTTATAATGAGACTTTTCACTCTGAAGAAGATGATCCTCTTAAAAAATAAAATCTATCTACGTTTTTTTGTTTCTAATATCCTATTCATGTTCGTTCTTATTTCTCTATAGGATATAAGAAATACTTCAACTATTTCTATTAGTTGTCGAGACTATTTCATTTGATCATTGAGATAAAGACTAGATAAATTTTCTAAAAGATTCTTCAATTAATAATTAACTCATTTAAAGATAAACGAACAATCCATAGAATTAATATATATTTAGTCATGTCTAGTTGTGTATAAGCAACTTTTTAAGATCATTTTATTTCAGATTAATATTTCTATAAAATTTATCTTAATACCAGTTAGAACAATAGTATCAAGTCTTGATTCTTTTTTTTCAGTTGAATAAAACAAACAAAGATTAAAATGAAATTAACAACTGTTAAATCTTTCCAAGTATAATCAAAATCATGTTGCTTTTAGATTCTTCTTTTTGAAAATTTAAGAGAGAATATAAATACAACGACTTCTCTTATTAATGGAACTTGACAATGGGTAAAACGAGCAAATTATTCAATAGTTTATTAAACATCGTCTAAAATTTCTAGAACCATAAGCAATCGACATGTGGAAAAATATCTCAATTAGTTTGTTTTTTTTTTATAAAATTTAAGATTATTTTCATTGATTTAAGTTTTAGTAAATAAACGAGTTTTTCAAATGGCTACAGTAAAAAGAGAAGAATAATTGATGTTTACAACTATGAATGTGTTTAGCTCTAAGGAACATTTTTTAGATGGAATAAACTTCTTGAAAAATTTTTATATAAAAATAAGATTTTAATAAGTGATTTTACAAAACATGACTTAGATAAATAGATTTAAAAACTATTATTGACATATTTAATTTAATTGTCTTTCATTTTTATTATATTTAACTACAAAATAAGTATATCAGCATGATTTTTTATTGTTAGTTTCTCTTTTAATGAAGAAACAAGTCAATTTGTTTACAAGAATAAATAAAAAAAAAATCTTGAAAATGAAAATATGTCCAATGAAAGTTCTTTACTTGGTTCTATTGAGATGAACTAAAAGAGAAGACTAAGGAAAAGACTTTAACCCATTCACGGCGGGGTATTTTAAGAGAAAATATGTTTGTATTTTGGAAAAAACAGTCGTTTTTATCGTTTGTAAAAATTTGCGTATCTGGAAGTTACAGCACTCTCTTTCATTGTCACAAGTTCCAGCAACTTAATAGTCTCCGTCAGATCCGTAGCCAGGAATTTTTTAAGGGGGTACACGCCAGCACAGAAGATGTTCGATCCTGTGAATAGTATTTTAGTTCTGTATTCTCCTCCAGACGTTTTCTTTTTCAAGGAAGAGGATTGCATGAGCACCCTGTACACTTCCTGGGCTTCGATCTTTATAATATAGACATTATAAGGATCCTTTCGATGTACGGATAGACTTACTGTATTGAACATTTTTGAGACAGAATGAGAAGCGCTTAAAGTTTTGCACTAAAAGAATGTCTTTCCTACAAAATTTTCGACCCTCATAGTCTCTCCCTCATTATAGAAGAAAGAGCTCCTTAGATACAAGTATCACATTCCACTTCGAGTACCATTTGATACCCATATCTGAGGAAAAATATCACCGTCCTATATATGGGACACTAGCCACGAACGGGTTAACGTCATTAATGTTGATAAATGAATCTCAATGAATGAGTAATGTAACCCTATTAATGAATAACACTACGTAGATTCATCTATATGATAAAAGACTCCAAGATAAGGTGACACTGAAATAATGTCTTATTAATTAAAGAAACAAGATAATCTTAATTATGTTTGTAATCCGATTATATTGAAACAGATATTCTTGTTTGTTTTTAAATCTTCTTATCGATAATGAATGAAGGTTGGAAAAGATTAGTTAATAAATCTTGTTTAAAAAAGTCCTTTATTTTCATTTATTTTAAGTGTCAATGAATGTGGACAACAGCTGAATTTGTTCTATTCCAAAAACAATTATTTAATATTTTAGTACCGATTATCATTATTATTGGTAATTTTGGATCTATTCTTAATGTAATTGTTTTTTCAATCAGTAAAAAACTTCGATCAAGTCCATGTTCACTTTATTTAATATTTGCTTCTATTGGATTTGCTCTTTATTTAAATATTGTAGCTTTATTAAGACTTCTTCAAATTGGTTTTAATATTGATCCATCTTCTAAATGGTCATGGGTTTGTAAAATAAGATTTTATGCCGTTGGATTTTTATTAATGTTACCTCGATCATATATGTTATTAGCTGCTATTGATAGGTAAAGGGTTGTTTTTTTTTTTCTTCAAATAAAAATAATTATTAAAATGAAATTATAGATATTTAATGAGTATATCAAGTCAACATCGTTTTTTATCTCATCGTATCGCTTTAAAAATGATATTATTAACATGTTTATTTTGGATGATAATATGTGTTCATAATATAATTTATTATGATATACAAATATCATTAAATGGAACAAATCCTATTTGTTCAAATCCATCAGGTACATATTCAACATTTCTTAGTTTTTATTCAATATTAATAAATGGTCTTTCAATGCCATTATTAATGACAATATTTACTTTATTAACACTTCGAAATCTTAAACATTATCGTAATCAAATTCATAATAATAGTCTTATTATTATTTTACAAAGAAGAAAAAAACAAGAATGGTCAATACTTCGAATGATTCTTGTACAATTAATTGTCAATGTTATTTTATCATTACCTATAACTATTTATTTATGTTACAATGGTTTAACACAATATATTCAAAAATCATCAATTAGAATTTTTATTGAAAATTATATTTATAATATGTTAACTATTTTACAATATTTAAATGCAGCTGTAAATACTTTGTTTTTTTTTAAACATAATTAATAAATATATAGTTTTTCTTCATATCTCAATAGGCATCATTCTATGTTTATTCATTAACTTCTCATATATTTCGTAAAGAATTATATTATCTTGTTGCTTATTATTCAAATAAATTAAAACAATATGTCATAAATTATTCAACAGCATTATTTACTCAAATGACTCTTACTTTCACAACATAATTTATATTATTTACTTGTCTTTATTTTACACTAAAAAAGAAATCACCTCTCATTTATCTCTGAAATTATTCTTTATCATTGTAAAATGTCTCTGAATAATTATATTTCGTGGATTTAATTCATTGAAAATGTTCTTTTTGATGTGATTATATTGACAATAAATAAATGTTAAATAGAATGTCAAATAACTTCATCAACAATTAATTGCAAAACTATCTTTTTTTTCTGTTTGTAATAGAAATTGACAGATTATACTAAAGATAATCAGACAACTATTTTATTTTACTGATGATCTATTAGATTTTCACATAAACAAATCAACCAAATTATGGTTATATAGAATTTGTCTTAAATGTTTTTCTCTTGAAAAATAAACAATCAATCATTGTGATCTTCACCATCCAATTTGATTTATGGATAGATTTCAAATTTCATCGTTCAATCAGAAGACACAAAAGATCATTGTTTGCTTATATCTGTTGAAAACTATCTCATCGTCTTTATCTGAATGGCATTGATTTGACTAAAAGCAAAAAAAATTGTGAAGAAGAGAATATACATATCCGTGTGGGTATAGATATGGAGTGAAGTGTAGGTGTGAAGGTGTCTGAAGATGTGAGTGTGAGTTGTAGTAAAGGGAGAAATATCGTACTCCCGTACTCGGAAGTACAGCGGGAGTACATGGATTCCAAGCCAAGGAGAAAACGAGGTCCTTCGATGCTCCTCGGAGTACAAGAGTACAGTAGGGATACATGGAGTACAGAGTCATAAAGTACAATTTCATAACTAAGAAATATCTAGACCTAAATCCAAGAAGATAACGACGTACTCCGGTGGTTCTTTTACTATACCACACATGCTACCACTCTACTCTCACCGTAGTTTCGTACTTCCAATGTACTCTCGCACTCTCTGTACTCCAGGAAGGAAGGAAATTGATATATCGATGCACAAATCACTGCACTTTTGTATTTCACTTACAGTTATTCTTGACTGCGTCTTATTATTTTCTTAATTGACAAAAGGTGAAATTTTTTTAGTGAGGCAAAAAAAAATGACTTAACAGTATTATTTGTTTACATTATCCACGTAAAGCTTTGACTGTTTCCTCTTCAATAGTATCTAAACAAATATGATATGAACTCATTATTCTCAATGATTATTATTAAATATTGCTTTGAACGAAAGAAGAATTTAAAATAGATGTCGCTTTTATTTTCTAGATATTTAAAATAATTTAGAAAACATAAGTAAAATAAGAAAAATTAGAAAAAGTTTTAGAGAAACTAAAAAAAACTAAATAATTGTAAATAAAAAAATTTGTAGAGGTTTGATCGTTGTAATGTTAAGTAATGATAATCGGTATATGGTAAAATAAAATAACTGATGATCTCGAATAATAAATTGAGGATTAAAGTAGAAAAAATAAAAAATTGATGGCATCAATTGTTGGAAATATTCCCAATTCGAATGAAATTATTCCACGTTCATCAAGTGTTGATTCAGCTATATTTGATGGTGGAGAAGATTCACCTGATGAAATATTTGATGGAGAAGAAGAAAGTTTTGATGAACTTAATCAAGATGATCAACAAAATGGACGATGCAAGTTAGTTAGATATTAATTTGAATTTTCTCAAAAAAAAAAATTTTATTTTATATTCGTAGAGCACTTATACCACGTTTAATTCGTTATGGTTCAAAACGTCTTCCTATTATTCAATTTTCACCTAAAGTTGTTTATGGTCGTTGTCCAGAAGCAAAAAAGATTGGAGAAAAACATTGTTTAACATTTAAATTTGTTAAAAATGAAACAAAATTAATACGAAATATACTTGAAGGACATGGATTACGTGAAGTTCATCCATCAAGTTCAGAATTTAATATAATGTGGACTGGTGGTGGAATGAAACCATTTACTTTAAGATCACTTAATCCATTTCAACGTGTTAATCATTTTCCCAGGTGAAGAATATTTTATTTAAATTATTAAATAAATAAATAATATTTAATTTTTTAATAAAGATCATATGAAATGACACGAAAAGATCGACTTTATAAAAATGTTCAAAAAATGCAACAAGAAAAAGGAATTAAAAATTTTAATTTTATTCCAATGACTTTTCTTTTACCTTATGAATTTGAAGATTTCTCAGGTTAATTATTTCCGTTTGGTTTTTTTTCTCTCATTTTTTCGATTCTTCTCGTCTTTATTTTAGCTGCATTTCAACGTGAGAAAGGAATTTGGATAATAAAACCAGTTGCTTCATCACAAGGAAAAGGAATTTTTTTAATAAATCATGTAAAATTCTCTATCGAATTGTTTTAATAAAAAAAAAAAAAATTTGATTTTTATTTAGCCTGATCAAGTACCATTAGATGAAAATCTAGTTATTAGTCGATATATTGATAATCCACTTCTTATTGATGGTATTTTTTTTTAATTAATAATTAATAAAATAAATAAAAATAATATTCTTAATAGGATACAAATTTGATGTTAGAATTTATGTGGCTGTTACATCATATGATCCACTTGTTGCTTATCTTTATGAAGAAGGATTAACAAGGTTTGATTATGAGAAAAAATTTTTTTGAAATAAATAAATAAACATATATATGAGGTTTCTTTTTTTTTGTAAAGATTTGCAACAGTTAAATATGATTCCAATAGTCGAAGTATAAAAAATGCATTTATGCATTTAACAAATTATAGTGTTAATAAACGAAGTCATCGATATGTTAGGTTTGTTTTTATTTGAATAAATTTAAATAAATATTTGATTTAAAATAGATGTGACGATCCTGATATTGAAGATTTTGGAAATAAATGGTCTATGTCAGCTATGTTACGTTTATTAAAATCCGAAGGAAAAGATACATTTAGTTTAATGATGTCTATTGAAGATGTTGTTATTAAAACATTACTTTCAGTTGAATCTCAAATATCAGCTGCTTGTAGAATGTTTGTTCCAAATAGAGGAAATTGTTTCGGTTATATTATTATTATTTTTTTGTATTTTAAATCATTATGCCTTTTTGTTTTCTAGAGGTTTATGGTTTTGATATATTGATTGATGACGAATTAAAACCTTGGGTACTTGAAGTTAATTTATCTCCATCATTGGGTTGGTATGTATTTCTATATGATTAAATTTGAATATCTTATATTAAAAAATTGATTTAGTGATGCTCCAATTGATTTAAAAATAAAAACTCATATGATTTGTGATCTTCTTAATTTAACATCAATGCCTTGTACAGATCCAGCTATTTATTCAAATAAACAAAGACAACAAAAAAATGAATCCAATTCACAACCTGATCAACTGAAACGAGTTTGTTTTTCTTTATTTTGAATTTAATGAGAAAAAAAAGTCTGTTGAGTTTTTGAAAAGTCTATTCATCATATAGGCAAACAATTGAAGCCATAACAATTAATCAAAATACTCCCACACTTACTTAAACATTGATTAATTCATCTAGGATTTCATATTAATATCATATATAAACAACAACATATACTTATCCATATTACAAAAAAAATCAACTTTTCCTTATTTAAACATAATTAACATTAAAAATTTAATGAGGAAAAATATTTTATTTCTTAATCATCATATTGAGTAATCAATAATATATAATGATTATCAGTTAAGAAAACTCGTCTAGAACAATTATTTCATATTTATTTATTTTGAACAAATTATATCTACGATAAAAAAAAAGCAAATAATTATCATTTATCTTTAATATAAGTTTTTAGACGGTGAACAATTCGAAGATATAAACCAATTGAATATCATTTGTCTCTAGAGTAGATAAATATATTTTCGAAATTTTTTCAAGAAAAAATCTGAAGTAAAATATTCAGTTTAATATTTGATTGTTCTGATAAAAATGAACATAATAAAAATAATTAAGTTTATTCTAAATGAAATATCAAGAAAAATAATATTAAATAATCTTTTAAGATAAAAATATAATGAAAATTTTAAATTTTGACATGAAAAAATATCAATTATTTAATAAACTGAAATAAAATAAAAGTTGATTGAAGTTATATTTAGTCATAATAAGTATAACTTTTCTTTTAAAGATAAGATAAGATAAATCAGTTTTTTTTTTCTAATTAATATAAATAGTTGAAATTCTTTACTGATAAGATGAAACAAGTCTCTCTTATATTGATATAATTGTTAATTGATAGCGTCGTCCAATATCTGCTGGTTATTCGTTAACATCATCATTAACAAGTCAAAATAGTAATAATTCACGTGTTATACGTGCAACAACAGCTAATCGTCGAACTCGTTGTGGAAATATTAATAATCAAACAAATGATATAGGTCGTGGAGAATATTTTGGTTTATCTTCCGAAGAAATTCGTATATTAAGAACACTAAAAGAAGAAAGTCGACAACGTGGTGGTTTTGTTCGAATATTTCCAACAGGTGATACATATGAATTTTTTTCATCTTTTTTTGAACAACGGACAACATCATTTAATCAAATGATTCATCAACGTCTTTATCCAACACGATGGACACCAAATGCATTTAATTATCAACAAAATGGTTCACAAATTCGTCGTACAACAGTTCCACGTTCAAAACATCTTTCATCGGCATTTAATTATGGTCATTCATCAGATAAAGATTTAACACCAAAAACAAATGGTTGTGATCTTGATGAAGCACTTGAAAGATATAGAATTTATGAAAGAAGATTAATTGATATTATTCCTCCTCCTCCAACAACAACAACAATAACAACATCAAATACAAATGATAGTTTAAAAATAAATGAAAAATGTTTGAAATCTCAAATTGTTGTTGAAAGTATTGAACAAAATCAATCTGAAACAACAAATGTTCATCGAGCAACATCAGCACCAATTCATCATTTTATATCAAAACAACAACAACAATATAAAAATGATGCAACATCAAAACGTTTATCAACTGTTGCAAATTTCGTAAAACAACAACAATTAAATATAAATGCAGCACCAGGTGAAACTAGACATTCGGTTTATGCAAAAAATGATATTATTCAAATGCTTAATCAGGGTTTAACATTAAGGTTAGTAGGTTTTTTTCTTCTTCTTCTTTTCTATCAAATTCATATGAGACTTTTTTTTTAAACAAAGATTATCAATAGAAGTTCAAATTTTCATATTCGAGCTCGTTTTAACAAACTTTGACAAGTTAACATAATCATCAAAAGTCTTTATTTATAAGGCCTTTACTTTTTGTTTTTATCATTAGATTTCAGTTTTTCCAAGTCAAAATATATCCCTAATAGAATTCGAAAAAATTCATCTCTTTTCTGTATTTATTTAAGGATACCCGCCCTCTTTTTTGACCAACAATCTATTTCGATCTGGGCATAAGATATGATAACCCCATGTGTCATGAGCTATTAGAAACATCATTCAATTCTAAATCGCTTACTATGATAAAGTTACAGAACTTATTTTTATCAGAGATACTTGGAAGTATTCTCTAGAGGTAGAATCAACCATTTCCATTTTTAACCTTCCTAGCCGGATTTATAGGGTTGTGAACGTCAAGACTTGGATTTTAGATCCGAACCTTTCCATATTTCTCTCAGAAAAAGAAAAGAAAATGAGATTTTTAAAAAATTTCAAAACTACCTCTGAGATTTTCAGCCCAATCGGATAAAATTTGAAAGGGGTTGTAATGTAGCTCGATGTAAACCTATGGAAATTAGAGCTTTCTTGAAGAAACTGCAAAAACTCTTCTTAAAAAACTTGTTTCCTCGAACACGTCTCAGGTTATTTTAGGTGCTCTAACTGTGGTAAAAATTTCGAGCGGATTGATTGTATCCTCTTCGAGAACCAGAAATGGTCAAAAAAAAGAGGAGGGGTATTCTTAAACGACGAAATTTATATTTAAAAAAAACCATAGAAAATCTTGTTAATAAAGTGTCGCATATTGTTTCTTATATTTGAATATTAAATTCGATTAATTATTGTTTGAGAACGAATTAATAATAAAATAATTTCTATAAGTTTAATTCTCAATTACGGTAGACTATTCAATTGATGATTATATTATGAGAGAAATTCTATTTCATGCATAATTATTCAATGTTCAATTATACTATTTAACAATCTATAATTTCTATAATTTACATTATATTTAACATAAACATTTGAATAGATATAAGACGTTGACTGATGAGGAAACTCCTTCAACTGTCAAATCGCTTTCGAGTCGAAAGTGTATGTACTATGTAGGTCCTAATGAATTATGAATACACTCTGAAAAGAGTTCGGACTGCTAGTTTATTGCTGATGAGATACTGCATTTTTATGGTATTTTTAAGTAGAAGGCTGTGGTCCCCTCAGGAACATCAGGAAAAGTAAGTTTTGAATCACGATTGGAAACTTTGCACACATACAGGTCTTAATGAGAATAGTCCTTTGTGAAAGTTTCAGATCGTTTGATCGCTTCTAGTCTGAAATAAGAACATCGGAATCCGCTAGTGCATATAAGCAATGTAAAAGCATGCTTTTGCTACAGCTGTATCTGAGGATAGAAACAACCTAAAGATCTGAAACTTTCACAATGGACTATTCTCATTGAGGCCTGTCTATGTGTAAAGTTTCAATTCGAAATTAGAAACTTACTTTTCCTCGTGTCCCTGAGGGGGATCACAGTCTTCTGCTTAAAAACATCGTCGAAATGCAGTATCCCACCAGCAATAAACTAGCAGCCCGAACTCTTTACAGGGTATTCACAACTCATTAGGACCTACATGATGTATATATTTTCGACTCGAAATCGATTTGATAGTTGGAAGGATTTTCTCGTGAGATATATTTAGTTGTTACAATAAAAAAAATAAATAAGTAAAATAGTTAATTAATTTGTATTTATATTTGTAAATGAAAAGTCCACTGCAAGCTCGTACAGCATTTGGAACATATTTACAACGAATTCAATTTCGTTTAATGCTTGATTCGGAATTAAAAGAAGATGTTACATCAAGTCAACATATGGAATTAGTTATTAGATTTTTAAAAAGAGCTGGACAAAATCTTTCACCACCATTTCGTGTTGAAATACCATCACGTCGTTTATCACAAGCTGATCAAAAAAGAATTTTAGCTAAAGAATTATGTGATTTTCTTCATTTATATAATAAAGAAACAGTATCACAAAATCAAAATCAATTATTTTCAACAATACAAATTGATAATCGTTTATTTGAAAATTTTCTTCGTTCAGCATCGGAATCTGATCTTGAACAAATGATGACAACTTATATGAAAAATAATAAAAATTCAGCTGTTCATTTAGGTGTTAATCCTAAAATAGTTAAACAAAATTCAATAAATCAAAATAATCAAGGTTCAGATATTGGACCTGATCAACAAGCTCAAACTATTTTACCTAAACAGTCAATTGAAGATAAGACAATAACATTTATTCAAACAATATCATCAAATGAACAATCAAATCAAAAATGGGCTACATTAACAACAACAGCAACAACAGCACAAAATTATCCACAAAAACGTTTAATACGAGCATCAAGTGCATCAAGACAACGAAATAATCAAAAAAGACAAGATGAAATTTATAAACTTTATGGAGTTTCAAGACCACTTTCAGCTGTTGTTCAACATAGAAAACGTAAGTTTAATTAACTTTATATTATCTTACCACTTATCTATTCCTTTCTTTTTTTACAAAAAATTCTAAATAGTGTTAATTTAATCAAACGATGGGTATATTTTATTCGACAAAATCTAACTTTACTAAAATAAATCTTTTATCCAAAAGACAAAAAACAAAAACAAAAAAAATTTTCATTAGATTTTTAACTAGATTCCCTACTAAAAGATAAATAACTATCTATATTTGACGAATGAGATTAAACTTAAATATTTCCTTTTAAAAATTGATAAATAGGTTTAGTCAATATGATTTTATTAATATTGACATTTATCAAATTAATCGAAATATATTTATTTTCAATTCTAATTAAATTTTTTGCAATTATAATAAGAATATTTATTTAATTTATTTTTAAAAAAGAATTCTTTTATCGATTTTATCATTCGTATTATATTCATAAAATTTGTAGAGAAATAAATTATATTTATATTTAATAAGAGAATTCAATTATATTATTAATTAACTATTGAAAATAAAATCTATCAGAATAAGGAATAATTTAAAATAGAAGATAAATTAAATCTGTTTAGAAAAAAAAACCTATTTTCATCTTTTTTTTAATAATTTTAGAATTGCCAACAACAACAGGACCGTCTGTACCTCCTACGAAACTCTTAATTCGAGAACGACCTAATTCAGCTAATATTACAAACGAACCAGGTTAACATTTATATTGAATATATTTCATCTCGAGTTTACTTTTTTGTTTTTTTTTCTAGAAGAAAAACGAGATTTTGTTGAACAATTGAATGAATTATCATTAAAACAACATCATCGACAATATTCCGGTAAGAAAAAAGAAATGTCCTATTTATTATTTTGATAAAAAAAAGAATTTTTTTGTTTTTGTTTAAAAAGGTCTTCATCGTTTAAATGTCTTTCATAGTCGTTCATCATCAGTTGAACCTCAACAACAAACAAATGTACCTGCTATGAATGATTGTGAAAATCTATCTGAAACAAATAAACAAGAAGAAATTCTTGAAAAAAGTCGACAAATGCTTGAAGAAAGTAAACTTAAAAATGAACAATTAGCTGAACAAGTTTGTTGCTTTCTTTTGTTTTTTTTTAATTTTAAAAATTAATATTAAAAAAACAAAAAATTTTTTTTTTAAGGCAAAAGTATTTCAACGAACATTACAACGAAATGAAATCTATTCGGCATTGAATCGTTTTTCAACTCGTCCACCTATTTATCCAACTGTTGTTAAAGAAACACGAACATCTTCAAATAGATTTCAACAATTAAAGTTTATATCATTTAAATTTTATATAATACATTTATTTATTTATTTTATAGAGTAAATCCAACAGTATCATTAATTAATGATCAACATAGAGTTAAATCAGCTAATTCTTCACAAGATTAGATTTTATTTCAATCATTTTTAGTTTATTGTACTCTCTTTCTATTGCACTTGACTTTTTTTTAAATTTGCACTTTTCTTCTATTTATTTTTGTTTTTTTTTCTTTTTGTGTGTAAATAATTTTCAAGTTTCTATCGGATATTGATAAAGGGGGCAGAGCCATCTTTCATTTTATTTATCAAATAAACAACAAATGACAGTCGTCCTCTAGTTTTATTGCTTGCTGCTGCACCAACAATGTATATATAGAAGGAAAGAAAAAGAAAAAAAAAAGTGCCTTGTTTTTATTGGTTTTTATTTCTGTCTACATACCAATAATAAATACAAATTGATGGGAAAGAGAAAAAGAACGTATAATAAAGAGAAAAAAGGAGAACGCATTATATTTTTTTATGATTAGATGAATAATCAAATAAAAGATTCTGTGACCGTAGTTTTCTTCTCATATTATATTTATTATAAATGTGCCCATTTATTGAATAAGCTTGCTTTTAGTTATAGAAAATAAGAAAAAGAAAAGGTTATATATATGTGGTTGACTGAATAAATCCATCAGGATTGAATAAGATATTTATCGGAGTGTAAATTATTTTTATTTTTATTTTTAGATAGAAAATAATTAAACAACTAAGAAAATTGAAAACAAAAAGAAAAAAATGAGTGTCGATTCAAATAGTGGAAAAGATAAAGAAAAAATTTTTCCATCGTTTACTGAACTTCGTATTTATCCATCATTTACTGAAATTCGAGAAAAATTCAATGCACCACAAGTAAGACAAAGATTTTAAAGTGCAAAACAAAAAAAATAAATAATTTTTTTGATTTTTCTTTTGAAAAGAATTTTAAAATGTATTTTCCACGTGAAGTATATGATCAAATTGTAAATGGAAGTCTTAGTGTTGAAGGAATTCCAGTAAATAGTCAAAATAGTGTAACTAAAGCGAATAATTTAGAAAATCAAACTGTTTTTGTTCGTCGTCCACGTGAAGAACCAATTGAATGTTTAGTTATTCGACCAAATGATTTATTATTAAAAGATGTTAACACAGGTCGATATATTCGTGCTCAACATCATGAACTTGAATATGTTAATATTCCAGAAGAAGAAGGTCAAGAAGTTACTTTTGCTTTAAAACAATCAGGAGATGCAACACTTTCATATCTTATTCATGGTAAAAGACATATTTTTACTTTTCAATTAAACAAATTTTGTTCATTTTTTATTTATTTAAATATATAGGAATAACATGGTCACCTCGATATAATTTAAAAGTTGAATCTGACAGTCATCAATTTGAAGCTTGGGCTGATATGACAAATAATACAAAACGTGATTATAAAATAAAACATACGGAATTATTTGGTGGTGATGTTCATCTTCAAGAATCTGGACAAACTTCTCGGAATTTTGGAGCTCGTTGTTATTGTATGCAAGAATGTTGTTGTTCTGCTGCACCAGCAGCTCCAACAATTGTATCAGAAGGAGAATTAGCAGGTCTTTATTGGTATTCAATTGATCAACCATTTGTTCTTATTCAACAATCAACATTTTCACTTCCATTTGTTAAACCAAATATAAAATTAGAAAAATATGCTGGTTTACAATATTATTTTCAAGAAAGAACAGAAAAAGGAAAATTTCAAAGAAAATATCGAATTGAATCAGATAAATTTTTACCTAAAGGTACAGTTACTATTCGAGAAGATGGAAGAGTTGTTGGACAAGCACATTTATGCGATATATCACAAGGTGAAAAACAAGATTTAGATTGTGGAAATGATCCTGATGTTAGTTTTATACGTGATGTTAAAGTTTCATCACAAAAACGTGATTCAGCTTTATATTTAATTCGTTTAACAATTAAAAATTCTAAAACAAAATCAATTAAATATGAATATAAAGAAATAATATCTTCAGCTAAATTTACAATAACTCCTCAAAATGATACTCAACAATTAAATAATAATATTCAATTAATTAGTGAAGGTTTTCAAATACTTAATCAAGAATTAAAAGCAAATAGTGAACAAACTTTTCAATATGAAGTTTTACTTGAATATAGAAACACTCAAGAACAATGTTCAACAGTTTATCAAAATGATGCTGATTAATTTTGTTTGCTCTTTTTTTCGTATTATCATTATCCGGATATTCAATAGATATTTTTA